GTGTGTGTGTGTGTGTGTGTGTGTGTGTGTGTGTGTGTGTGTGTGTGTGTGTGTGTGTCAGAGAGAGACAGAGACAGAGAGAGACATAGACACAAAGAGAGAGATAAACAGATTTCTGCATGTTTACAAGGGCTCAATTCCTAACCCAAAGTTCCTACAGACTTTGCATACTTCTGGAAAGCCCCAGTGCATCATTTCCGTTCCTCAGAGAAACCTCAGTTTTCCGTTTTTCTGGAAGGTCAGTGCATTTCTTCTCGATGGTGGGGCTTTGTCCCAGGCCCCGTCCGTGTCTCCTTCTGCCCGCTCCACGGGGCTGAGCATCGTGAGATGGGCGGGCCTCACAAAGTGAGGTTGAATGGAAGCAACCCCTCTAAGCAGGCTCTTGCAGCCAGTGTGTGGGATGCGGATGGAGATGGGCTGCCACACGGAATCCACGCAGATGTCCGCATCCAAACAAGAGAAAACAGTGTCCACAGAAGGATCCAGAGAGAGCTGTGAGCTAAGACTGCGTAAGAGAGACGGGGCCGTTGGTAGCTCCCTTACAGAGGCCGTTTGCTGGGGTTGGAAATGAGTTTTGAGGCTACAGGTGCTTGAACGGCTTCTGTGTCAGGAAGGTCACCCTCCAGCTTTCAGAGTTCGCTTGGGATCACGCCACCGTCTTAGACTGAGGAAACTCTAATCTGTGTGTATTTCCTTTTCCTCTCCCCGGTGCCTCTCCTCAGAAAACAGCAGCAGCGACCAGAGGCAGGCCTGTAAGAAGCACGAGCTGTACGTCAGCTTCCGGGACCTGGGCTGGCAGGTAAGGGCGGCGGTGGCTGGATCGGCCCCGGATGTGTGAGGCGTCTAGTGTGGGCTCCCCCGGTGGTGGGGCTGTGGGTCCTACATGTGCAGTGAGCCGTGTTTCTCATCTCTTGAGACTCCGGTATTGCGTCCTATCTAGAGGCTCCAGGGATGCCCCATGAAACCCAAGAGCAGAAACACGGTTGAGACTCATGCTAGAACCAGAAACCCAAACAATGTGGACTCTGAACCTCATTCTCCATGTGAACCCCATTTCCATCCTGCACTGGCTGCTCCTCTCATACGTGGCCGAGTCTGTGTGCTGGAATCCAGCTGCCCGGAGGAGGGGCTTCCACCCTCTGCCCTGTCTGCTTCTCCCTCTCCCGTCTGTGATTCCAGTTCCCAGAGAAGGTGCTGATTGGCCCAGCTCGGGTCAGGTGCTTGTTCCTGAACCAATCAGCTGTTTTAGGGCTGGGATCATGTCCTAGGACTGTGGCTGCCCCTCTGGAATCATTTGCGTGGAGCAGGGCAGGGGATGAATCCTAGAAAAAGAGTATCTCAACTATTTATGAGTATCTATGACATTCTGGGCCCTTTTCTAGGCACTAGAGGTGCAGCCCTGGGCATAGCAATGTGCCTGCCCTCACGGAGCCCAGATATCCCCGGACAGGGTGTTGTCATCATAAGATCATCAGGGCCACTGGTTTTGTTGTTCTCCCTTCAGCGAGCTTGTAGTTCAGTGGGAGAGTCCAGATTCTTCCCAGGTCATCATGTCCTCAGATACACCCCCAGGGCACTTGTGCACACGGTCGACTTGGAGTCCTCCTGTGATTTTGTCCTCACTCTTATGACAACATCCATGGTCTAAGAGGTGCCAGGCCGTGCTTACGTTCTAGTGCTGGAACAGAGCCCCCAAATGCACTTGAGTCCCTGAGGGGTATATGTATTGCTAGCACAACATTTCTGTGCTAACCCGACCACGTGCGTCCTTTACAGAGTCACACACGTGTACCAGGCACTGTGCTGGGTCGGCTATACTGTCACCTCTCTCCTGGGTGGGTGAAGTGAGGCCTGGAGGCTTTGTTTAAAGCACACCGCCCACGGGTTACCACCTAGTAGGGGTAAGGTTGATGCCACCCTAATCACCCCTCTCTGTGCCACCTTCCAATGAAGAGCAAGTGTTCATTCTGGGCTCAGCCCAGCCCCCGGTGGTCTTTCCCTCACTCTGCAGTCTGTTGGGACCATGAAAGGCTGCCTCTGTAGGAGCCCCAGCTGCACAGGAGGAGGTGGGCCGTGCCTTTGACCTCTGGGAGCTTCGGAGTCTGGCCCACAGGAGGAGTGTTTCGGCCTAGAGGGCAGGACCCTGCGGCTCCCACTTTCCACGTGGTTCTGAACCCATCCCCCCGCCTCGTCCTCCGCTCTCTCTCACAGGACTGGATCATAGCGCCCGAAGGCTATGCCGCCTACTACTGCGAGGGGGAGTGCGCCTTCCCTCTGAACTCCTACATGAACGCCACCAACCATGCCATCGTGCAGACACTGGTGAGTGGCCTGCGTGCCGGCCGGGGTGTGGGCAGCTGGGGGAGCAGGGCCACCACGTCCCGCCTCGTGCTCCTCCGAGCTGGGGCCACAGCAGGTCTCTGGCCGAGACCACGTCATGGCTTTCAGGAGCCCAGGGCACTTTTGCTTTCGTGGGCCCTACCTCCATAAAACAAGACTAGAAATTATAGTTAATAACATGTATTATAATCTTCATGTATGTCTTCAACCCTAGAGTGCATTTATTTCTCCTAATTTTAGAAGCAGTTAGAACAGTTTCGTGGGCTCCTAAAGGTATCGTGGGTAAAGGCCACTGTGCGTAACGGCAGTCGCCCTGGCCCTGCCTCTGTCAGGCAACCACTGTTCCTGGTTGTCAGCATCCACATCCACAGGCCCTGCAACGTCTGGGCTTCCTCCAGGTTGGGTAGGCTTGAGGGCTCATCCCCTCCCAGAGCTCGTGGCTTTGCCTCCTGGCCTGGAACTTTGTGGTTCAGCCATTCAAGGGTGTTTACTGAGCATCTACTACATGTAGACCCTGCGCTGGCAGCTGGGGACGCTGCAGGGAACAGCATACAGGGAACATCACAGACGTGGTCCCTGCACTCAGAGCCTCGTTTTCCAGGCAGGGAAACAGTCAAGGGAACAAATGTGGGAACTTCAGGGAGAGGGGAACGACAGGAAGGTGGCAAACAGGACAATAGGGTAGAGAGATGGGGGGTAGCCGTGGGGCTCTTTGAACTTTCACGGGGTCATTGGAGGATTCAGTGTGATGATGCAATTAAAGCTCTTAACGGGGTATCCAGCACGGAGGACACTCAACAGAGCTCTTAACGGGGTATCCAGCACGGAGGACACTCAACAGATGTTATTTTCACTACTTTACCAACAACAAGGGTGATACGAGTTAGAGACTTTGTTCTTTAGCTTAGGATCTGAGGTTCAGAGACGTTGGTTATCTTCCTCCTTGCTGTGAACATTATCTGGGCCTTCCCTGACAACTGCTCATCCTCTCTGGCTTGAATGCTTCTAGTGATAGAGAGCTCACTACCCAGGCCCATCTCCTCTGTACCGTGGGTCTGTTTGTTGCAGAGCTCTGTGCTTCTTTTGCTTAGTAACCTGCCTCCCTCTTCCCTGTCCCTGCCCCGTGTGTTACTTCTTGCTCCCCTGTTCCGTTTATTTGGGTCAGGCTCTGCCCTTTGAGGGAAGGCCTCTTTTTTGAAGCATTGCTTTGCCAGGACCCCCGCTCCCACAGCAGTAAACTCTGAAGCCCTATTCAGGACTGAAGGTCTTCAGGCTGGAAATGAAGAGTCACCCCAGCCTGTTCCTTGGCCTGAACTTGTCCCCTGTGCCAGTGTCCCCCTGTTCTGTCCTGCTCCGAGGACCAGAGTGACGGGGGTGGCTCCCAGGCTGCCAGGAGCACAGCTCCACCCTTCTTTGAGCCCTGCCCACGGAGCAGAAGCCCGGCCGCCCCTCTCCATCTGCAATTCACCGGAAAGCTCTAGGATCAGAATGAGTCCTTTGATTATTCTGAAATGAAGGTCATGTTTGAAAAGGAGGTGAATCCTTGCTTTCTAGAGAGTCCTAGTGAAATACAGAGGAAGTGAGCTAACATCTGGGATTTGCTTTAACATTATTCAAGGATGGAGGAGATGGGGGAAGGTTTAGATTTGTAAGATTTGAGATTAAACATAAAAAACAGTTTAAAAAGCACGCTGACCTACGTGGGAGGTCATAGACTGGGGCTTGGGGGCGGAGGGTCATCCACAAGGTTTTCGGCTGGCCCACGTGGTGTGTTGGAAACCTGGAAGTTTCTCATAAAAACAAAACAGGACTGACAGCTGGCCTGAGCACTCGGCACATCTGATCGCACTGGCTTTGGGCAGCTTGTGTCCATCTCCCTTTGGTTTGCCCCGGTCCTCACCGTCCCCTATGGTCTGACTCCTGGCCCAGTTTGGTCATCCGTGGCACTTGCGTGGCCGCTGCCGACATTTGAATTTGTTTGTCCCCGAGCCCCACCACCTGTAAGGTGCGTAGGCGCCCACGAGCCGGAAGGAACAATAAACCTGGGCAACTGGCTGACTTCTTTCTTCTTTCTCACCTTCTGGACCTTCTCCTTACTTGTTGGCGCGTCCACCCAAGTGTTTGCCCAAATTCTTTTCCTCTGATTTTTATTGCTGAAGATGCAGAACAGTCTCATGTAGTCTAGACTCCCACCATCCAATACAGTGACCACTTCTGTGTGGTGGCTCTTCAGTAGAGTACTTGAAACGTGGCCAGTCTGAATCGAGATGTTTTGCAACTACACAATACACACTGGGTTTTGAAGACTTCGTATAAAAAAAAAAAAAAAATGTAAAATATCTCATTGATGATTTCTTCTGCTAAGTATATGTTGAAATGATAATTTCTTGAAATCTGGGGTTAGAGTAAATGTACTGTTTAATTTCACCTTTTAAAATGTAGCTACTAGAACGTTTTAAATTACACATGTGGTTTGCGTGATATTTTTCCTGGACAGGACAGGTCTGGCCCAGAGGTCGGCAACCTTTTTCTGGAAAGGGCCAGATAGTAAATATTTTCAGCCTCGAGAGCTGAAAGTTTGTGTTGCACCTTTTCACCACAGATGCTGTGTGTAATGCAGAAGCAGAAGCAGCCACAGATGCTGTGTAGATGAGTGGGCGTGGCGTGTGCCAATAAAACCTTATTCATAAAAACAGGTGGTGGAGCAGGGATCGGCCTGCAGGCCGACCCTCGTCTAGCCCAGCGGTTCTCCACCTGGGGCAGTTTTGCCTCCCAGGGGATATTTGACAATGTCTGGAGACATTTTTAGTTGTCATGGTGCGGGGGTGGGGTGGAGTGCCTCCGACTTCTAGTGGGTGTAGCCCAGGGATGCTGTCAAACACCCTGCCGTGCACAGAACCGCCCCACATCCTGGCCCCAAGTGTCTTCCCAGCCGTGTGCTGTGTGACCCTCTATGCTTTGGTTCTCTCATCTGTGAATCAAGAATAACCCCAGAACTGAGTTAGTTACCCATCAAGCGCTTAGAACTGGGAGTGACCGGTGAGTGTCACCTGCGGGGGACTTTTGTCCAAGCAGTACCTGTTCCTTTTAGAAATACTGAGGCCAGGGAGGAGTGACTCTCCGGGTCTCACCACTGCCACCGTTTTGGTGTGTGTTCCAGGTGCATTTCATCAACCCGGAAACGGTGCCCAAGCCTTGCTGTGCTCCGACTCAGCTCAATGCCATTTCCGTGCTGTACTTTGATGACAGTTCCAACGTCATCCTGAAGAAATACAGAAACATGGTCGTCCGGGCCTGTGGTTGCCACTAGCCCCTCCTGGAAGTCAGACGCTTCGGGGCCACGTTTTTCCAGATCCTGGGCCCCTCGCCGCCCAGCATCTCCCACCACCTCGGCGAGGAGCCCGCAGCCCAGCCGCCTTTCGCGAGGCCTTCCCGTCCCCCTCTCCAACTGCAGCGCTGTAGGAGTGTTCAGGAATTTGAGAGGCAGATGGCTTTTGATCCGTTTTTCGTTGGCATCCTACAGACAAGATCCTACAAGCTGCTGCAGGGAAAACATATATCAAGAAAAATTGCCGGGCCCCGATCGCCGGCTGCGAGGTCTCAGCTGTGCACCGACTCGTTCCCAGGGGTAATGATGACACCCTTCGGCCCGGCCACCAGCAGCGGGGGGAAGGGGCTGCGGCCCGGGGTGGGCACGTTCGTCTCTGTGCGAGAGGGAGAGTAACGCGGAAGTCCCTGTAATAAATGTCACAATAAAACGAATGAATGAAAATGGTTAGGATGGTAGAGATATATTTTCCTAAACAATTTATCCCCATTTCTTGGTTTACTCTGATTTCATAAACAGAAGCTGTGGCCGACGGAGGGAGGGGAGGCCCCCCCCCCTCTCCGTGCCATTCCGGTTTCATTCTGAGGCTTTTGCCGAGGCCCACTGTTTACGTAAACTCACCCAGAAGCCAAGATTTGGCCAGCAGGGGAGACGGAAATTTTCTGCTTGGAGTTGACCTTGAAGAATAAATAGGTTCCACCATTCAGCCGAGTGCGTGGTGGCAGAAATTAAAACAGGCATGTGAAGCACCAGCAGACGCCTGGAATTGGTTTTCCAACACTCCCCATGGTAGGAAGTCAGATGGAGGCGGACAGCTCAGGACAGAACTTGCAGCTTGATCCTGAGTTCAGGCCACCGTAGCCCTACTTTCAGAAGCACGCTAGCCTTCAACAGGGGTGGGTGGGCGGGGGGACCGTCAGTCCCCCAAGCCAGCCCCTCCGTTGGTCATCGATAGCAGTGTCCTGGAGTCTGGGCTCTGATGAGGGCCTCCGTGGTCACCTCTTTTCGTTCGCAGACCCCTTTTTGAGGACTCTGTGCAAGAATCGGCCCCTTGAAGTGAGGGAAAGGTGACACAGTGGGAGGTCTGCTGGATGCAGGGTGTGCAGATGTGAATCTCAAACAGGAGGCTCCAGAAGCTGTCGTGAGAGTGTCCTGACTCGAAGGTGCCATTTCTGACGCGGCTCTTGGCATGAGCCTCCCTTGCCTTAGCTGGTGGGTCCCCTAAATGGCATGCACCCAGCCTCCAGCTGCAGTGCAGCCTTGGAGACGACCAGGCTCTCCGTGAACAAAGAACAGGGTTATCCCGGTGAGGCCAGTGGCCCCTGGGATCTGGTCTAGTGGGAAACTGTTTCTCCGTGTTGATTGAGTTGGTTCCTGGAAACACAGGGACCCTGTTTTCATTTTCTTTTATGTTTTCTTCCTTAGTAGCTTGGGCTGCAGCCTTCACTCTGCCTGGTCAATGGGGAAGAGTCGGTGTTTTTGTTACATTTTGTTTTGTCTGTTGACAGATCTGGGGATTTTGCTGTGATTCCCTCTTGGTGCAAGTTTTGTCACCACGTACACCCCAGCCGACATCTGGCTAGCATCATTTGTACACTGAAGCATGTAAATAGTTGTTACTAAACAAAGAAATTATTTATGTCCGTCTGAAGCTCATTTTAGACCCTCTCCAATCCCTTGTTCAGGACGATGAGCTTACTTGCTTCCCTCCAACCTGTTTATTTTCTTATTTAAGACTATTTATTAATGGTCAGACCAATGTACCTTCAGCCGTTGCATAGAGCAGTCCTCAGAGAAAATGCTGTATAAATAGACAAAATAAAAAGGGTTCTGGTTTTGGGCCTGTGTATGTCTGTGTTGTTTTTTCTCTCAGCGCCTGGATATTGGAGTTCTCTTGGTGTGCTGAGAGCTCTTTGCCTTGGCCTCCACCATTAACACGCTGTTTATCATTCAGGCCCCGGGGAGAGAGGGACGCTCGTCAATATTTGATGCAGCTGTGTGGGGCTCCGGGCAGGAGAGATGGAACCAAACAACAAATGTGAATTTGGTAGGCTCAACTACAAAGATCCTTGATTGAATTACAGTGCAGCTGTCAGCAGCTGTTTCAAAGAGGCAGGGGGTAAATTAGCTGTGTTTACTGCTAACATAGTTGAAAGATTTAGTCATCCCAATAAAATAGAGGCACAAGAAAGAAAAAGAAATAGTATTGGGGGTAGGGGGAGTGTACACCCAAAACTTTAAAGCAGCACAGACCCCGGAGCCAACACTGCCCAGTGCAAATTATTTCGGCGGCTTGGGGGCTGCTGCTGGCTCCCGGCTTGAGCCATAGATGGCCCACGGTGGGCCTGGTGAAGGTAGCCAGGGGCCCGCTGTGCACGCAGCCGCATGCAGCCGGGCAGCATGGAGCAGCGTCTTGGGTCCCTTTCCGCTTTGAAGTGCACGCTGAGGTCACCTGATGGTTGTTAGAATCTGGGCCCATTCCCTGGCCGGCTGCTTGCTCTTTTGCCCTGTTGTCTCAAATGAAGCAGCCGCTCCTAACAAGTTCCAGCCCCCGTGATTTCCAAACCCTCCTGTCATTGTCCTGATGTGTGATCTAGCTTTTGTTCTGTTTCCAGGCTGAAGACCAGAGCTGCAAACCAGAGGGCCAGATGCAGCCTGCAGACGTATCTTATTCCTCCTGCATGGTTGAATTCGTTGCCAACACATTTTTGAAACTCAGAAGATTGGGGTGAAAAAAACCCCTCAGATTCTGCCTTCCCTTAAGCAGTCTGCAGATCTGGCCACCCTGGGCCCCGTTCCTGCGTGGCAGCTCCCGGCTGGAGCCAAAGAGCAGTTGTTGCCACAGTCTCCACTGCTCCCTGTTGTCTGTCTCATGAAGGTGCGAATGTCAGTTGCTGTTTTAAAAATTGTAGGTGTTTATTGATTTGTACCCATGCCTCTATTCAGAGTAGGAAGGTAAAGCCTGGACTGAAAGAGCCACGCACTTTGGGGGAAGAGGGGAAGCCTTTTGTTCATTTCTGGCTCGCTTTCCCCTTTCCAGCTGGACCCCTGTAGGCAGGCGTGTCTGTGGCTGCAGCGCCGCAGGTGGCCTCATCTTTGGCCTTCACCTTTGCCCTCTCCGGGTCCCCACGTCTCTTGCTCGTTGTCACCTTGGAGCATTTTGCGTTGGTGCCTCTTCTCCCTGTCCCCCTTACGGAGCACCTCTGTCAGGGACCATGGCTCCCACCACTTGGCCTGACATTGTTGCTGGCCGTGCCAAGAGGGCCTGAAAAAGCGAAGGAATTTACTCAACGTCACCGGCTAATAATTGCTGGGACTGGAACTGGGACCCAAAGCCTGGCCTCGATCCCGTGCTCACCTGAGTTAGAGTCTCCTGGGTCTGCTCACGAAATGTGGGGATTCCCGGCCCCCAGCCCTGCCTCTCCAAACGACCTTCCCCAATTCCTTACGTCCATCCCTGAATCCATGCCAAGTTCCTGGACCGCAGGCTCAGGCTTTTGGTCTCCCTCCTGCTTCCAAGCAGCTCTAGGGCCTTCATCTGTGAGCGTGTTGCCGAACTTCTAGCTTTCCCCCCCTGGCTGGGCCCGCCAGCCCTGCCTGCTGTACAGTATAGCTCGCCTGTCCTCTGATTTCTGCTTCACTGCCTGGTGATGGTAGTGTGTGGACCTTGCTAGGAGCCTGGGAGGGTCAGCAGTGGTCACTGGGGCCATCTGCTTAGAAAATTCTCACATGTGAGTCCTTCCCTCTGTCCAGATCTTTTGGAGAAGCTGAGTGTATTAATTTCCTGAGGCTGCCCTCACAAAGTACAAACTAGTGATTTAAAAAACTAGAAATTTATCCTCACAGTTCTGGAGGCTGTAAGTCCAAACTCAAGGTGTCATTGGGGCCGTACTCCCTACAGATGCTTCCGGGGAGGAACCTTCCATGTCTCTTGCATCCTTTGGTGGCTGCCGGCAGCCTTGGCTTGTGGCTGCATCTCTCCAATCTCTGCCACTGTCTTCACATGGCTTCTCCATTTTTCTATGCCCTTCCTCCGCATCTCTCTTAAAAGGACACTTGTCACCGGATTTAGGGTTCACCCAGATGATCCAGGATGATCTCCTCACCTTGAGATCCTTAATGACATCTGCAAAGACCATTTTTCCGAATAAGGTCACAGTCCCAGGTACTAGGGACGAGGATGTGGACGTATCTTTGGGGTACCACCGTTCGGCCCCCTGTCATGAAGCTCCACGTCCCGCTCCTGAGGCCTTGCCCCCGCTTTCCTGCTGCAGAGTTTGGGGACCTCGTAGAGCACTGTGGTCCTCAGAATGCCCCTGGCCGCCGTCCGCGCTGCTGTGTGAGCACTGCAGCTCCTTGTCTCATGCCACGACTAGAAATGGGCTTGGGAGCCCAGCCCAGCTTCCCCCCAATTCTGAGCCTTCACCCAGTCATGCTGCAGCCAGGTGCAGCACGGGGGGCCGGGCCGTGTCAGCTCTGGAGGAGTGGGCAGACCATAAACAAGGATGGCTGAACCACAGTGCCCTTCACAGGTGCAAAGGTGTCTCTGAGGGCTTCACAGCCTTCCTCTTTGGCCAGAAGCCTTCATTCACTCATTTGCTCATTCACTAGTTCCTCGTGCGTCCTCTGTGTGCCAGGCTGCGGGCGCTGGAGATACAGGAGCAAAGCACGTGTTCGAGGGCACAGGAAACACAGTGTCTGGTACCGCACCATGGCTGCATGGGCTTCTTCCTCCATATAAAGTAATACAGATGTTCCTTCATGATTGCGTTGGTATAGAGATGAATATTAACCAGGCTGAATCATATTTTTTTACCTTCTCATTTCAAAAGATATTAAAATATTTTTTGTGGGCTCCTAAAATTACCGCAGTTCCCGAGCACGGTGTCTGCTGTGCCTGATGGGCAAGCCGGCTAGGGGTGAGCCATTTATTGATGAGTGCTGGGAGGAAAGAG